AAATAAATATCTGTGAGTCCATATTGATATACATAAATAATGGGTAGAAGAGGCAAATCTTCCTTATAGAATTCCAGTTAATAAATGTAGAAGGGATGGGGGAAATAGAAAATTCCCATTAGAATATCACATTAATAATTACTATAGACAATATTCACCAGTGAATACTAAAATTAGTGGGCAAAACTTTTGGGAAAGAGGATATTTGCATAGCCTCTGAGTATCTCCCCCAAATATACCAATTACTGTGATGGTTTTAATATATGACCACAAATTCTTTGATATTCTCCCTTCCAGGAGGTGGAGTTTAATTCTCCTCTCCTTGAATGTGGGCTTGACTTAATGACTTGCTTTTAAGAAACTGAGTATACAAAGAGAAAAAGGATAACCCTACAGTGGAACCACCTGGACAACACTTTAACTGAGTGATGATCAAAGTTGACATCACCAGGGCCGGCCCGGTGGCGCAATGGATAGTGCGCCGCTTGGGAAGCGCGGCAGCGCTCCCGCCCGAGGGTTCGGATCCCACATACAGACCGGTTCCCGCTCACTGGCTGAGCGAGGTGCGGGGGCAACGCCGAGGGTTGCAATCCCGTTGCCGGTCCCCGGTCCGGTACGGGGGCAACACTGAGGGTTGTGATCCGTTGCTGGACACGGAAAAAGACAAAAAGACAAAAAAAAAAAAAAGTTGACATCACCAGTAATAAGTCACGCTGGTATGTGTTCCCTGATATGATGTGACGAGAAAGGTACACTACACTTTTGTGGTACTCTTCACCAAAATCCATTACCTCAATCTAATGATAAGAAATCATCAGACAAACACAAACTGAGGGATATTCTAAAAGAAACTAGATCACTACTCTCCAAAAGTGACAAGGCCATGAAAGAAAAGGAAAAAGAAACTTTCACAGACTGGAGGAGACAAAGGAGACATGACAACTAAATGGAATACAGTACTTGATTGGATTCTGGATAAAGGAATAAGTAAAAACTCTGGGGAAATCAGAATAAAATGTATAATTCAGTTAACAGTATTGTACCACAGTATTTCTTAGTTTTAATAAATGTACCCTAGTAACGTAATATGCTAAAATTAAAAGAAGCTAGGTGAAGGGTATCTGAAACTCTGTACTAACTCTGTACTATTTTGTAACTCTTTGTAAATCTAAAATTATTTCAAAATAAAAACTTAAAACATATATAATAAAAATGTATATTTATCTTTCTTTGTACTAGAGGAAAATATACTCTAGACTGTTAATATTTTGGATGGTACAATTAGGAGGTGATTTTTAGCTTATGTTTCCTAATTTACTTATAATGAGCATGTTTTACTTGTGTAGTGACAATAAATTCTAAAAACTGACAATACTTACTCTTTGGTCCACCAAGAATACCTTCCCATCTCAATAAAAATATATCTTCATTCTTAATGGCTAGTTGTATATGGTTGAATGGATGTACGCTGATTTCATCAAATACACTTTAATTATTTGCAATTTTTCAAATTTTTTACCTTATTCATTTTCTATGTATCTGCTCATTCATAGCCTCAACTCATCAATCTTCTGAAATTATTTGGTAAGATGTTTCCAGTTTGTTTGCTTCTCTATCTTTTTCTTCCCGAAACAGAGGTTTTATATTTTTGTATGGCCAAATCTATTTAACCTTTTCCTTTATTACTTCTGCCTTTAGGACATCTGCTATTAAAATCTCCTTGCATTCTGAAGTTATACAAGTGTACTGCAAAAAGTTCATGGAAAGATTCATATTATCTTTTAATTCTATTTTTTCATGAACAAAATTTTTGAAGTACCCTCATATAAAGACAAGGGTAGTAGACTGTATTACTTTCCCAATATTCCATTCCTCCATCCCTTATGGGAAGAGTGCATATCCCCACTCCACTGACTTTGGGCTTGTCTTTGCCTGTGCTGTGGCCAATGGAACATGAGTGGACCTGATGTTCACCGCAATCATGTAGATGCTTTAAAAAGCACTGCCCTTTTCCCACTGCCACAAGAATGGCATGTCACAAAGAGGTGGTGCTCCTTCAGCCAGGTTCCTAGAACCAGACAGCGTGTGAAGGAGAGCCATGGCAACTGACTTGCAGCTGTCAAAATAACAATTAAGGGAGAAATTTTGTTGCTCGAAGACACTGAGATTTTGTGATTGATTGTTAATGCAGCAACATAAATTAATATAACAGCCATCTTCACTTTCTTTTAGAATGTTTTCCACTTATCTTCATTTTGAAATAAATGGCAGTTTGGATAGTATAGAATTTTTGGATCATATACTTTTTCCATCAAAGTTTAGTTTGAGAGGTTGTGTCTGATGTGAATAAGGAACAGTCATCCTAGTGTATATGTTCAGGTGGAGAGTCTTTCTCTGTCTCACCAAAGTACCCACGATGGCAGAGGAAACTATGAGGATTCTGTAGGCACAACCCGAAGCAACCATTGCTGGTGTGAATTTCTTTTAAATATCTTATTTTACATTTTACCTTAAAAATAATATTTATTTCTCTCAAATCTTTCAGCAAAATGAACATTCAAGGAAAGATTCCCATGTTTACTTCCTGGTGCTATGTATTCCCAGCACACTGCCATGTGTTCTGGTTTGAGAGGCATAGCAGGAGATAGTTACACACTGGAATCTGTGAAGTAATATTTTCACAGGCTTTGGTGCCAGACACAGGTTCAAGTCTCAGTTCTACCAATTTCTAAAAAGGTGTGATCTTCAGCAAGATATTTAATTTCTCTCTGGTATTTACCTTCTTCTCCTCTGTAAAGTGTGCTAAGCTTTTACTACATTGTAGGTAGAATTACTAAAAATAATATATAATAGGTAAAGAATACATAGTACCTCAGGAGAAAGGTCAAAGCCAGAATGTATAGAATTAGGAGGTATCAACATATAGGTAATGCATGAAATATATGGGTATGGATTAAGGTTTCAAAGGAAAATCTGAAAGTTAGTCTGAAAACCAGTTGAGTAAGCCAAAGAAGTGTTTAGGGGAATGAGCAGTCAAAAGTCTCAAATACTCCATAGAGGCAAAATTACATGAAAAGAGAATACTAGACTTGCCATGTGGGAATCTATACCTTTTTATAGACATGAGTGGTACAGTGGTCACAGAAGCCAGATTCCAGTGAACAGAAGCCAAAAAAGTAAAAGCAGCAGTAATCTAGTAATGAAGGGAAAAGGGAACTACAGTAGAATCAATGGGAAGTTTCCTTTTCTAAGGATAGTGTTAACTACATCCAAGCAGAAGTATTTTATTAAAGAATCCGTGGTAAATGAGGTACTTTCCCTGAAGATCTCAGGCACACAAAGGTTGTTAGAAACTACAGGTAGGTGTGCCCTGTCCCAAATTTGGTGGAGGGCTGGTGGGGAGGAGATCATACATCTAAAGAAAAAATAAAGAGGAAATTTGGTCTGCCAGTCAACTTGTTTTTACAAATGAGCAGTGCTCTGGGCTGGCCTCTATGTAATGGAACAGATAAGAAGCAATAGTGTTGCCTTCTCACGCACTATAATTACAGCACCTCCCTAGTCTTTTCTGTTTAAGAGGGAAACATTTTTATTTCACAGAGCCAAACTCCAACTGTTGTTTTTATAATAAAAAGGATTTACTTTCTGATTGCTCTGCTATGTCTCCTGTTTTCTTTAATAAGTGCTGTTGTCCTATATTAAAACAGTTTAATTTATATTATAAAATACACTTAAATATAAAAGCAGCTGTGATGCTTCTGTTTAGTATTATAAAAAAACACTTAAAATCACAGACTGATGGAGCGCAAAAAAATAATAAAATAAAAGTCACTTGGCTTGTTTCCAACTCTTTTCCTAATATCCTAGAAAAGCTCTGCCATATCTCATGGCTTAGATATAATTTACTAACACTGTGACAGCCAAAAATATTTTAGGAACAAAAAGGTTGATATGAGGTGAAACATGAAATCGCACAAAAAAGAAGCACTTCAACAGAGCACTATGGTTGCAAAGCGCTTTCAAAGGAATTATCTTACTTGACTACTGGAACAACACTATGGGTGGGTTGTGGAATCCCATTTTACAAAGGAGAAAACTGAGGTTTAGAAGATTAATAAGTTATCCCAAAGTCACAGCTAAACAGTAAAGCCAGGACCTGATGCCAAAAAGTTCATGGAATCACTCATATTATCTCAGTTCTCTATGTTTCAATCTCTATGTTTCTCTCATTTTATCAGTGTTTGAAGAATCTTGGGGTGAACAGGGGAATATTTTTATATCTTTATACATCTTTGTTACATTTTCTTTTCTGTTTGTCTTAGTCATTCCATATTAAAATCCTAAGCTAAATATTTAGTAACTTTACTCTATTTTTTGATGGCAAAATGATTTATAGCAATAAACTTTGTTTTTGAAAACTGCTTTGCCCACATTTCACAGATCTTGATATGCAGTATTTTCATTGCTGAAAACTAAGTATATCTATTTTAAGACTTTGTCAGTAACATGGTATTCTTAAAATTAATCTATTTTTGAAGAATATTTAGGTTTTAGTAAAGATAATGTTCATTGAAACATGGACTGGCCATCATACATTTATTACAAATAAATTTAATATAAATAAAATTTAAAATATTTAATGTTAATATACATATATGAAACTCTTGATCTTCTTGAACAATACTATTCAAGAAAAGAAAGAATTTTAAAATAAGCTAGCTAGTTGGTTGGGGCAAGTGCAAATGTAGCAAAGTTGTGCATTAAATCTGTGGGGAAATTGCATGGGAAAAAACTATGATTGGAGATTGATCCATAGTCCCATTAGCCATTCTGTAAGTGCAGCTCATTAAATAACGAAGTTTTAGCAAAAGCTTATAATTCTACCAGAAAAAAAAACTCAATGCAAATATCCTATTACCAGTAGGTGTAAAGACACATGTCTGGCAGAATTTGAGGACATACTTGACTCACAACAATCTAAGTAAATGCAATTTATGTACCTGTTCTTCATTAGACGAACCTCTCTCTTTCGTGCTGCTTCTTCAGCAGGCTGTGTAGGAAGTGCTGGGGAGGATGCCATAACAACTCCAGGGGCAATAGTGCTAGTGGGTGCTGTGCGAATCTGGTATGTTTGTACATCTCCAGAGGCAGCTGAGAAGAAGAATAGTGAGCAGGGTGTTAAGACACAGAAATACTGCAACTTGATTAAACTATGTGTGTCAATCATCAATCTAAACATTTTGGATCAAAAGGGAAACAAAAAGGAACAGGCGATTCTGGCTAAAATGTTGAAACAATCAGCACTCTTTGGGTCATTACTGATAAATAATTCCCAATTTAATGAATTTATTAGTATAGGCACTTGGGTGAAAAAGGTCTTAACCTACATTTGTTGGTTCTTATATTTATCTTTCACTGGAATGTAGTTCTGTTCTGTTGTTAACATGCTTACCAACCTTAAGTCTAAAAGGTAAGTAGGGCACAGCTTTGATGATCTTCCTAGATAGAGTATAGTCCTCAATGTCTTCCTTTGATATTGGTAAATTCATATTAAAAAATTTCAAGTAGACTCTTGCCACGACATAAAAACGACCATGATTTTTCATAAAATAGCAAAATGGAAGAGAAAATAAAGCATTATGGTCAACTATTGTAAATTTCTAGTTGAAACAAAACTGAAAGTATGAAAAAGTATATCAACTGATGTCAATTATATTACTTGTAAGCATATTATTTTAATGTAAATGATAATGGGTAAATAAACTGAGGATTTATTTTTCTAACTGATCCACCATTTGTGAAAAGAAACACATCAATATTTGTCAAATTGCTTCTAAAAACAGCTTAATAATATGCTCTCCAAAGAATAAGGAACCTAAAATTATTTGAGAGAATTTGAAAGGTGTTTATAATATTATCCATATTAGTTACTGATGTCACTTAAAATGGGTAGTTTGAGCGGAAAAGATTTATATACTAAACATGTTACCATCTTCAAACTGACGTTCAGAATTCAAATTCACTGACATCCTGTTTACAATTTTTGAGTACCTGCATGTAAAGTGAAAAGGTGTTTTACTCCCATTAATAAGCAAAATATTATCTTTTTCAAATATTATTTGTTTAGTAACAGAATATATTCTGTAAATACATTAGGGCCCTTTAAATAAATTATGACTCTCTCTAGTTTGGTGTTTTAGGATTATTCAAAAGTTATTATCAATGGTGAAGGGATACAACTGTCATTACCTAACAGGCAAAGTGCATTATTATTAATAAAAATATTTTTAGAAACAAGTTTCTTATTTCCTCAATCTGCAAATTTCCAATCTGGCACAAATTATATTTTTGAAATATTCAAATGAATTCAAAGAAAGATGGCCAACTCCTATCCATAAAGATTTCTGAAATATAAGAAAAAAAAAATTTAAAAAACAAAACAAAAACTAGAAAAAAGCTATTTCAACAGTTAACCAAGGATTTAACTACAACTTTTTCTCTAAACACCAGCAGACTTGCATACTGGCGTAAAATAAGATCTTTTGGAAATAATGTTTTCTTGTGAAATAAAAATGGATGATCTTAGAAAAAAGGACTCATTTATTTTGAGTTAAAAGCAGGGAAACAAAATTCTGAAACTCTGAAGATTCTTACCAGTGATTTAACACAACTCTCATTTGATACACAAGAAAAAAAAAAAAAAAAAAAAAAAAGAAATGAAAACTTTTTAAAGGCCCGGGCTTTTGACCTTGGGGGGGCACTGGCTGAGCGCGGTGCGGGCGCAACACCGAGGGTTGCAATCCCGTTGCCGGCGCAACACTGAGGGTTGCGATCCCGTTGCCGGATACGAAAAAAGACAAAAAAAAAAAAAAAAAAAAAAAGAGGCCTAGAAAGGCTGTTGCTTGCTCAAGGCCACATAGCAGATCCATGCTGAGTTAGATCTAAAATGTATTTTTCATTGTCTTTCCTTCTAACCTACCCTGTTTCTCCTATCCCCACTAAAGGCGTTAATTTAGATGTTATATTTTTAAAACTGAAAATAGTTGTTTTTATGCCATGACATTTTGGTCCAACTGGAATAATGGAAGAGTTCATGTTAATACATTATCTATATTAAAGAAAAACTCACTATACTTTAACAGTGCTTTATAATATGATACTTACTTTTCTGAAAGCTTATAAAATTTTAATCTTTCAAAGAACTTACCACATCTGTGAATTCTCAATTTCCTTACCTTGAACAACAACTTGGTTGCTGGGCACTAAGATCTGCTGTCCATCCGTGGTCTGTGCATACTGTAGAATGGTAGTACCAGGCTGAGTGGCAGCTGCATTGGTCATGGTTAATGTTTGCAGGCCCTGTACCCCATCGGTACCATTGTTAGCCAGTTGTATAGCTCCTCCCTGGGTAATGGCAACTAAAACCCAATGGATTTTATTGTTACAAGTTTAATTAATACCATATAAGACTTTTTAAACATACTAAATTCAATGTAGATTGATTTGCAAGACATAATCTAGGAGAAATTTTTATAGCAAGTAACCAAGAAGGATTTGGTATACTCAAGTAACTTTCTGCTCAGGAAACCCACATCCAATTTCTACAACAGAAATGTGCTCTATGAACTATATAACTTATAATAATGATACCTGTTGATGTTTTAAAAACGGGTTAAGTCGGACAATGTTAAATTTCTTTTGAAGTTATTTGGTTCTGAGGAGGTTCCACTTTGTGATACATACTCTCCTTTATTCTAGCATTAACTACGTAATATATTGTTTGTTGCCCCACTAGTAAAAATGTTTCTTGAGGGTGGGAAATGTAATTTTTCTTCTCTGCTTTCACATACTTGGCACAGTGGTAGGCATGTAACAGGTACTCAATAAATGGTTGTTAATAAAGCAGTTCATCAGTGCATTCTGTTCTCTAAGTTTTCTAGCAATTCATAAACAATATCAAAAAGTCAATTCAATGAAACAACTGAAATATCCCATGGACCTTAATTATCACAGTCTCTTGTGCAGTTTAAAATTAGAACTCAAGATTATCATTTAGAAAAAAACATTTACTATCATTTCTAAGTTATATATAAACATTCTCATATAGGATCCTTTATTGATTATTCACTAATTAACCACACTTGACATTCATGTTACAAAATAAACTTTTGCTCATTCTAATAGATATTTCACTTTATAAAAAACTGAAACCAACTTTATGCTGCAGTATGTGGAAAAAGTTAATAAAAAGAAATAGATTGTTATTTGGAAGAAGTAATCCTTTAGATACCAGCATTGAGATAGGTGGTTGGATCCTCTCTAGACAACCTCCGCACTAAGAGTCAAGTTTTTCAGAAAGAGAAGGACCAAAAATCACAGTATTACATATAAAACTGCATAATGGATTTTAACTGAATAAGAGAAAAGCAAGTCTATTAGAAGGAAATTGGGATGAATTGTCAGCAGCTCTGGGAAATTACAGTATCTTGAGTCATCTGTACATGAAAAATAATGATTATCCACTGCTCAATCAAGAAATAAGAGTTAATGGCTATGATTTGGTTAGTTTAGCAAAATAATACTTGTGGAATTTAAGACACTGGCAAATACATATTCATCCACTTTATCTAATCCCAGAAGTTTTATTTTAGACCAAGGGGAAAAAAGGAATGTATAAGGACTATTCAAAGATTAATTTTCAAGATTACTTGAAAGAATCAGAAGGTTAACATAATCAAACCACAATTTGTCATATAGAGTTAATAAGTAAATGCCACTGTATTTAACACACCACTTTCTTCTTGGCTACAAACCAATGAACTCAACATGGGAGGAAAGAAGTAGGAAACTACACATGAGAAGATTTGGGTTCTAGTCCAAATTCCATCACTAAGCTATTTTTTGATTCTGTTATCTCTTCTGTTAAAATAAAAACAAGTGGTTCTAGCCACTAAGTACAACTGTTGTAAACACCAAATGAGGTCATGTATATGAAAACAGTACTTAGAAAACTGAAGTCTGATCCTATTGAACATAATTTTGCTATATATTTATTTATACAGATGATTATTCCAAAAGGATTTGAGCTAGCTTTCAATAAAACTGAATTCATTAAAACAAGAATAAAAAGATAAGAAGTCAAGTAACTGATGTGTCTCTCGGTCTATATAACAATTCTACCAGAAAATCTAAACTAAGAAAAGAAATAAAACTGAGCATGAACTTAGTTGAGATTCTGAGTAGCCAAAATAAAGAGCAAAACATCATGAGTTAGTTTTATTTAGTGAAACAAAAATTCAAGTTCAAAATGACAGATACATATTTTTCTACCTAGGAGTAGAATCTCTCAAACAAAACTTTACTATTTAGGACAGCGAACCAAGTAATGGATAAAGCTAGTAACAGCATAAAAAAATAAAATAAAATAACCAATTTATGGAAGGAATGCAAATTAATGCATCCACTTGGAAGGGCAATTGGGCAGGATATGCTTCAATTCAACAATTCTATTCTTAGGATGCTATCCCACTGAGACACTACTACATATATAGATGTTTATGTGACGTTGTTTGAAATAGTAGGAATGTCCTAAATATTCATCAGCAGGAGCATGTTTACATAAATGTTATATTTATACAGTGAAACATGATGCAACTGCTAAAGAAATAATATACATAACTATATGTGTGTGTATGTATATGATATATAAATAATGTAGTTCTTTTTTTTTTTTTAATTTTACTTTATTTTGTCAATATACAATGTGGTTGATTATTATGGCCAATTACCGAAACCTCCCTCCCTCCTTCCTCTTCCCCCTCCCTCCCAACAATGTCCTTTCTGTTTGCTTGTCATATCAACTTCAAGGAATTGTAATTGTTGTGTCTTCTTCCCTCCCCACCCCCAGGTTGTTTGTGTATTTATTTATTTATTTTTGGCTCCCACAAATAAGTGAGAACATGTGAGATTTCTCTTTCTGTTCCTTTCTGTTTGCTTGTCATATCAACTTCAAGGAATTGTAATTGTTGTGTCTTCTTCCCTCCCCACCCCCAGGTTGTTTGTGTATTTATTTATTTATTTTTGGCTCCCACAAATAAGTGAGAACATGTGAGATTTCTCTTTCTGTTCCTTTCTGTTTGCTTGTCATATCAACTTCAAGGAATTGTAATTGTTGTGTCTTCTTCCCTCCCCACCCCCAGGTTGTTTGTGTATTTATTTATTTATTTTTGGCTCCCACAAATAAGTGAGAACATGTGATATTTCTCTTTCTGTGCCTGACTTGTAGTTCTCACTTGTGTAAAAAACATGACAACATGTATATGTACATGACAACACGTATATATAAACACAATGAAAAAGAATGGGGGGATATACATACCACTCTTACTACTGAGGAGGGAAGAAGAGAATTTTTACTACTTATTAATGTTATAAACCTCTAACGTTTGAATTTTGACAACTATTTGTTTTATAAGTTAAGAAATATATAAATGTTGCTGTAGGTGTGAGTACTCAATTGCTTCTTAACTAAAATCAAGAACATAATGTTAAATCAGTTCCATCAAAGCCATGTGTGCATATATAGAGAGGTGAAGGGATAAAGACAAAAAATAAAGCTTTAAAAATCTCAAATTATTAATATCTTAAAATTAGCAAGGAGGAGAAGGGTATGTCAAATTAAACATCTAGGGGGATGGTGGCACTTCTCTAAATTTCATTTCCCTCTTTCAGATTCTGCTATGCCTCTTTCCTGAAGTTCAAGTGAGAATCTCTGTTACTGACAGGAGTATGTCATATCCCTAGGTATGCTGAAGTACAGGAAAAAGAAACGTCACATATCAATGTCTTAGAACACACATCTTGAATAACTAAAATTATCTGGATCTGAGGCTATCTTAAACTAAAAATATAAACACACACAAACATACAGGTGTAGAGATTTACCTCTATATCTGACAACAAAGGACTTATGAAGGAAAAAGACAGCTAAGGTCATTGAGCTTAGACAGTTGACAAGAAGTGTAGTCAAAAATGCCTTCCTTTTACTTACTGTCAAAAGCTTCATCTTTAGGAGAGCTAAAAATTTAGCTATTTGGGAATCTGTTTAATACAGTTGGAATGCAAATTAAGAGTTACACAAACCAAGGTTGAGCTGCAACTTAAAAACTAGTGACCTGGGAGTCAAACTTCTTATATATATTTCTAATATAGATTACATCAGAGCATTAGAAAACTAATGAAGCAAAGGAGTTTCAATATGAGGGTACTTCAAAAAGCTCGTGGAAAGATTCATATTATTTTTTAATTCTATTTTTCCATGAACTTTTTGAAGTACCTTTGTATGTACACTTAATTTGTAATTAAGGTGGAGAAAGGGAATACTATATATTGGGCAGCACTGTGTATAATGAACAATCAAAATGAAGAAAACAATGTATGAGACACTTTGAAAGGCAAAGTATAGAGAAAAGAGAGAAAAAAGTACCATTCACACAAATGCCTTTGATCAAAAAGCAGAATTCAAAAGTAACTTATAACAGATTTAAGTGAAAGATAAGAAGAGGTAAAAGAGATAAGATGAAAGACCTAAGTGCCAGATAGAACGTTATAGAAATGGAAACTTTAATAATACTACAAGAGAAACTTTTGCTTTCTGTGAGCCAAAAGGCAAAGTGTCCTATTAATTTCAGCAGTCCTTATTGTTTACATTATCAGAATTCACTATACTACCTTTTATTTTTTTTTAATTTTTTTATTTTTTGTCTTTTTCCGTGTCCGGCAATGGATCGCAACCCTCAGTGTCGCCCCCGTACCGGACCGGGACCGGCAACGGATCGCAACCCTCAGTGTCGCCCCCGTACTGGACCGGGACCGGCAACGGGATCGCAACCCTCGGTGTTGCCCCCGCGCCTCGCTCAGCCAGTGAGCGGGAACCGGTCTGTATGTGGGATCCGAACCCTCGGGCGGGAGCGCCGCCGCGCTTCCCAAGCGGCGCACTATCCAGTGCGCCACCGGGCCGGCCCGCTATACTACCTTTTATATGAAAAGGAATAATAATGGAATGTGCTGGAAGACTGCAACCAAGACACTCCTACCCTCACTTGAATCATTATTAAATACAAAGATTTTAAAATGCTACTTTTAGAAGGGAAGAGAAATTATTAAAATAGATGAATAATAAGACGATTTTTAGCTTTAAATGTATTCAAAGAATGATTTTTTTTTTATCTGAAGAAACTTATGTTCTCTCAATGTCATATATAAGGAGTAAAATCTAGAGTCTCAATTAGTGGTTCAAAAAACTTCAGACTCTTCATGCATTTGCACGAAACAAAGGGATGTCTACAGAGCTTACGTACTTGAGTGATCCTAACCAAAACTGAAGAAAAGAAAATACTTCCATTATAGACCTTTGCATATTGAACAGTAAAAGAAATATTTAATAATGGCAGCAAGACTGAGAAAACACTTGGCACTTATATGATTCCTTTAAAGAGAATGCAAGCATTAGTTTTCTTCTCACTTTTCAAAACAGAAGTATCTATTACTTACTATACTGTCCACTGCTAGTTTGGTAAATCGGAGTTGGCACCGTTACAGTGGTGATGGCAGGTGCTGAAGTCTCCTCTTCAGACTTCTCTTCTTCAATCCTTGGCACTCCTGGTGTATCAGAAGATAAGTCATTCAAAATTTTCCTAGGAAAATAGAGAAATATGTTAATTAAAATATAAGCAAAATTTACTGGCAAGATACAAATAATAGTTACAAATCAGAAAACTGGCTGAAATCTGCTAGTGCTTAGGACAGAACAAGAATGAACTCCAATAGATCAGGGATCAATCTATATGGCAAAATGTAACCATACAAGTACAGTTGGCCTCCTGTATCCATGGGTTCTGCATCCATGGATTCAACCAACTCTGAATCAAAAATATTAAAAAAAAAAAAAAAGTGCACCTGTACTGAAAGTATACGAGAAGATGTGCATAGGTTATATGCAAATACTACGCTGTTTTTTATGAGGAACTTGAGCATCAGTGGATATTGGTATCTGAGGGAAGTCCTGGAACCAATTCCCCACAGATTCTGAGAAATGACTGTATTACACACAAAGATGAATTCTCTTTTACCTGAATGTAAGGAAAGGCTATGACTCAAAACTCAGGTGCAAAAAAGAAATCAATAAAACTGACTAAAAAAAAAAACCCCTTTTGTATTGCAAAGAATACTGAGTTAAAAAAAGAAAATCAACAATACTAGGAAAAAACGACATATATCACAAATAAAAGGGCTACATCCCTAATAAATAAAGAACTCTTACAAACTGAGAGGAAAAAAAAAGACCAAAAACCTGATTTTTAACTTCTCAGTTCTTAGATTGGTAAAAGTAAAAAAGTATACAAGATATTAGCAAAGCTGTTGAGAAAACAGACACTCTCATATACTGCTGCTCAAAGTATAAAACTGGAACAACCCCCCATGGAAGGAAGTTGGCAACATCTAAGAAAATTTCATGTGTTTATCTTCAAGAGTCCCACTTCTAGGAATTTACCCTACCTCCAACAACACGAAAATACACTTGCCTAAGGCTATTCATGGTAGCAAGTATTTGTAAGTGCAAAACTCTGAAGATAATCTATATGCCCACATATAGGAGAGTGCTTGAATAATCTATGGCACATCCAAATGAATATAGCATGGTATCGTTTATGTAAGAATATATACATGTATTTGCTCATTTGTTCAAGGAAAAAAATCAGGAAGGATAAATCAAAGTTTAATAAGTTTAGTTATCTACTGGGGGATGAGTAGGAAAGTGGTGAAAAGGATAGAAGGATGAGGCGGGCACTACTGCGTACACTTTTTTGTACAATTCTGAATTTTGGATTCATGTGAATGTTCCACATACTCAAAAAACTAAAATGAAGGGGCTGCCCAGTTAGCTCAGTTGGTTAGAGCATGGTGCTGCTAACACCAAGGTTTGATCTCTATACTGGCCAGCTGCCAAAAAAAAAAAAAAAAAAAAAAAACAGTTAA